TCCTTTCTTTCTTTTACAAGTCTCACATAGCATTTAAAAGCTAGACAGAAATGTTACACTTCAAGAAAAAAAAAAGGATCATATAGATAAGAGTTCTCTCCATCTCTATCTCTTGAACTGTTGAGCGTGGTTTTCGAACCAAAAGAACACATGGAAGATGGAAAAAAAAAAAAAAAAAAAAAGTTCTCAAAATATTTTACACCATATCCCTATAAATTTCTTCATCTCTTCTTTAACCAGAAAAGAGAAATCAAAACGAGTACTACAGAGAAAAAAAAGACAAGAACCCATATTTTTTTTTGTTTTTTTGTGGGGGGGGAGAGGGAAGATAGAAAGATCAATACAAATAAGAAGAAGAGTGAATATTAAGTACTCTTTCTTGAAAAAAGGCTTTCAACATAGAAACACTTTAAAGCAAAGAAAAAAAAAAAAAGCTTTGCAAACTGAAAAAAGGACACTGTCTTAATCTCAAAACGCATCAAACAAAAAGAGATAGAGAGAAGGAGATATTCATGTCCTGAGCGTCCTCCAAGCTGCAGAGGTAGTAATCCGACGAGCTTGATCAAATGAGATCGAACCTTGCCTTACATCGATACCTTGTTGCGGTCCTTGATTGGTAGTAGGACTAGACACAGAACCCGATGATTGGTCAAGCGCTTTCGTTGGACTATTCAACCCTTCTCCCGCTTTATCTTCTTCTTCGTCTGAGTTATCCAGGTGAGTTTGAGACCAACTAGGTTGATCCCTCAGAGGTGAACCACTGAATCCTGAAGTACTTCCCCCACCAAAGCTTGGTGGAGAATGAGCTCCATCGGAAAAAGATTTTGGGGTGTTGGTAGAGAAAACTTTAAAGTCGCTGATCACTTGTCGAGAAGGAGATGTAGTGGATGTGCGTCGGAGTGATGTCGCGGTCGTCTTGGAAACTGCTGATTTAGTCCGCGAAGGTAAAGGGACGGGGTAGACTCTCGAGGAGGATGAACTAGTGGAGGAGAAGGCTGCGGTGTAACGAGATTGAAGGTATTTATCGGTGAAACGAGAGCCGATGATCTGAAATGTAGCCAGCGCCCAGGACGAACAATTTAACCACTGAGATCGTTCGAATGTAGAACGTGATGACGGAGAAACAAGAGGTAACAGGACACACCTTCTTGAGCTGAGGTCTGGCCGTTTGAATGTCTGGTGCCGTGAGCCAGACTTCGACATTATGCCTTGCCTCTGGTGTATCACGCTAAAGAACCCAACCACAAAACAAGTTTATCAGATTTGATCGGGTGGTATAAAAAAAAAGTTAAAAATAAACAAGCCAGCGATTGGTTTTACGTAGATGTCCTCCACAAAGAGTTGTTTTGTGCTCTCGTTCCTCAACAGGAGCTTTTCATGTAATTCCCTAGCTACATCATCCACGCTTTCCTGACCCCCAACCACTCGTTCAGCCACTGCATGACCAACCTCCCTTACCAGACGTTCCATATCCATTTGTTCAAACGCAGATCCGACGATGACGTGTGGAAGTAGGTTGGCAGTTGTTAGCGGGAGCATCATGGCTGATGTGATATTGGCAATCGCTCGAAAAAAGTCATTAGAGTACGTGTAACCCGAGAATGCAGGCTCGCACGCCACTACAAACTGTGTAAAAAGAGATCAATAAAATCATTTTGAGGAGATCTGGTTGATGTGAAATCATGGATTGAAAAATCGTAAAACCTAACCAGACTGATTCCATTCTGAGCCATGGTCCGAGCGAGTTGTAGTGGATCATGGCCCGATGGATCGCCCTTACTAAACCCGTCGCCATATTCGCCGATGCCCTACAATAAGAAGAATCATGGGTTTAGATTATTATCGTTCACCATTTTTTTTTTTTGACTAGTTACGTACATGTGGAGGAGCATCAGTAATAAGAACAGCCATTCGGCTAGCCTGTGGTCTCCAATCCAATGTCAAAGCCTCATGCATCGCAGCTGTCACAGCCTCAGGGCCGTCCCCACCTGACCCAATAATTGAGATCAGCAAGGAGAAGAGCTGATGAGAAAGAAGAAAGTGCACACTACTAACCACCTGATGCCCAGAGAGATTTGAGATGTTCTTGAACGACCTTCGGATTGGAGGTGAAACCAAATTTCAAAGTGACGTAAGACCTATTATACAGAAGCGACAAAGTCAGTCAGATTTTGACTCGGTCACTTATAAGGTTGAATGGGTCAAACGACTGACATATCCTGTGGAGGATGATCACTGGAAAAGATCGTGACCCAAACCAAGAGACATAACGTCAATTTATTTTTCTTCTTCTTTACATCTTCCCGATCTCAAATTTAGACCGGAACGGAGTGATTCTGAAGGAGGGTTGAGCTGACCGGTAAGCTATTAGTCCAATTCTCAAACATTCAGGGGATGCCAGCCTTTCTGAATTGATGATCTCATCACAGATCAATTCGATATTCTGTGTGGCCGCCTGTATATTATCCCCAAGCGCAAAAAGTCAGGCTGAGGAAGTGATGATCGCAATTGGAGGCGTATGAAGCGCTCAACTGTGATGTAACTACCCATACTTCCGGTGGTCTGATCGAATGATGTGAGTCGGTTGAGACGAGGAAAATGGATGATAATCAGTGACGATGAAGAAAAAAGAAGGAAACAAGTGGAGAGGTACAGTATATTGATGAGTTGGCCGTCAGTCTTCAGTTCTCTGTTTGGCGTTTTGTAATTCAAGTATGGAAAAGGAAGAAACGTACGCACGTCCAGAATAAAACATAGGTCCAACATCTTCTCGCTAAAGTCCATATGAGCCAGTCGATCTTCCAAGGCCGGGATAGAGTTGGAGGCCATTGCGTCCAATTCTTCCATCATCTTGAGTGAAATGAATTGTTTTTGAGGTAGGTTGACTTGAGTTGGATGGTTGAGTTGATGCTGTTGCTGGTGCGTGTTGGTGTAGACCCGAAGCGGGGACTGAAAGTTTCAATTTAATCAGCAGAAATAAATAAATAAATAATTACAGAATTCGAATTTAGTTTAGTCAGCAGTAGTAAGTAAGTAGAGTAACCTTCCATTGTATTATTTCTCACTTTCACTTTATCAAAATAAATCATCATATATCATCTTATCAAAACTAGTCAAATATCCATCAGAAAAAATTTATGTAGTGATCTAATTATACATGTAACAGCTACATGCTGTAAAATGTAAATCTTATGGGTTCAATTAGGTTAAAGAGTTTTATCTAAAATCAACTAAGTAAATATTGAATTTTGTCAATTTAATTGGTATGGTTATGTTTTGAAGGACAACACCCTCATCAGACAAAGGCTGACATCTAAAAACAGTGAAAGAAAACAGGAATGTAGCAAACATCTGCCAAAAAGACCAGATGCCCCATTGGTGGATTGAACACCAGGCCTTTCCATGTCGCCTTTGCACCAAGTAGTACGAGTGGAACGCTCTACCACTGAGCTAACAGGGCTATAGAGGCTAGATCCCTTCAAAGTTTTCATATAACACATCTTTTCCCACTATAATACGTTCCTGTATAGCCTTACACACTTCTGTAGCCTACCAAGTTAGTAATATCCTAATATAACAAGAAAAGTGCCAATCCTGTATGTGGTAGCCAGAGGAATCAAGGAAAAAAATGTAGAGGGCAAAGAGAAATCAAAGCAAGAATCAAGAAATCATTATGATAGAGGGAGATATATATGACACAGGAAAAAAAACTGAATCTCTTGGTTTGTAGAATATATATTGTAGGCATAGTTTTTATCTTCTTTTCTTTTCATTTTTTTTTTTTTTTTCCTGATCACTCATCATCAAAGTATGTGTTATACTTATAACACATTGGCTTACTAATTTGAGGTTCACAATCAAAGAAGTATGATGGGGAATTAATAAGATACATATATATATATATATAATTGAATCTCA